AGGAGGCCCAAGGAGGGTGGGGCCTGGGGCTCTGGGCCTAGGGACAGGTTTGGGGGCAAAGGGGGAGGTCCCCTGTTGGGGGACAGGAGATGTAGCGCCAGGTGGACACCGGGCTTTGTCTCCTTCCTTTATGGACGGGGAAACCGAGGCCCAGGGAAAGGAGGTGATGACCCCAGGGTCACGGGACAGGTTAGAGTCAGAGTCGGAAGCCCAGTGGGTCCCCTGGGGCTCCCATCCTCCATCCACCCACCACCCCTTTCCAGCTGTGGTCTCTTGGGGCTGGGGACTTGAGAATGAGTGGGTGCCTTTTCTTTCTAGAAAGCCCCATGGCCATGCCCTCAGAGCCTGTGGCTGGGATGCATCATGCGGGGGGCCCTTCGTCGCCCCCGTCAGCACCCAGGAAAAGAGCAGAGGCACGGGGACGTTCCACCAGCCCCTTCACGTGTCTTCCAAGTAGCCTGGGAGCTCCCTCCGGGGTCTGAGCCGTGTGGGGGGCCAGCTCCCACCGCCTCGCAGATGCAGGCCTCACTCCCGAGCCCCAGCTCCCTGGGTCCCCAGGACCTGTGCTCATCCCAGGGGGGCAGCCGCGAACTGTGATGCCTGGGAGCCGCGGGGAGGCAGGTGCCCCTCCATCCCGACCTCCGACCTGTCTGACCCCCATCGTGGGATCTCGGGGCAGCACCTCAGCCTGCCTGGAGGAAGGAGGCTTTCCCACCCCGCCTCTCTCGGCTGCCCCTCCCCCGGGCCTGAGGGGCCCCCATATTTCCATCGACATATGGAAACGGCCCCTCCTCCTTAGCTGACCCCCACCCAACATCGAACAAAGCACAAACAGTGAGCACCCCCCTTGCTGGGGGGGAGCAGGCTGGGTTTGTGGGGCCCCTCCCTGTCCCTGGTTGCCTCTGTCACCATGGCAACCCAGAGCTTGGCAGTTGGGACCGTTGGGCTCCTTGGGGGTGGGCTCCTGGAGGTTCTCCCAAGTGAGGGCAGCGAGGCAGGGCAGGGCCAGAGGGCAGCTGCCTTGCTCATGAGCTAGGGGCTGCTTGGGGTGAGCTCTGGGACAGGTCTGGGGTCCCGGACACTGTCCGGGCGTTGAGGGGTCAGCCAGCTGTCCCTTGGCCTTTGGTCGGTGAGCGAGGACAAGTCTAGCTTGGCCCACCTGCCATCGTGCCCCCGGCTGTGCACACACCTCAGGGCAGGGCGCAGCCCACTCAGCCCTCCTCACACCCCTGCCAGAGACCCCGGCCTCTGGCTTGCCACCCAGTTGGCTTTCTTGATATTTGGGAAGTGTGACTGGGACGAGGGCGGGCGCTGGGGTGGGCCGAGACCTGTACTGTGTGGAGGGCTCTGACCAGCAAAGCCAGTGCCCCCCTGGGTGGGGGCTCTTCGACCTCCCTGCCAGGGGGACAGTAGAGGGTCAGGGGGGATTGGGGCTCCACCGAGGGCCTCTCTCACACTCACTTGGGGGACGGACCAAGTCCGGGCTCACGTTGGGGTGACAGTTACAAAGAAAGGACTGTTCTGGGAGTGGACGGGAGGGGCCAGCATGAATATGCAGAGAAGACCTCCCCACCTCCCCACACCCGCTCCCAACCCCTCCTCACACCGACTGGCAAAACCGAGGACAGCAAGCAGGCGGCGGAGCCAGCGGTGTGAGAAAGCAGATTCCCTGTTATATTTGCATGATGATTTTCCTGTATTTTTCTGAGCAAACATCTGTCGTGTATGTGCCGGTTTGTCCAGACTCCCCTGCCCCCCTCCCCGCCGCCCCCCTCTTCCCACATCCCCTCTATTGTGATCTGACAAGCAGCTCTTGACACCCGGGGAGGACCAGCTCTGCAAAAGACCCAAACCAGGTGCCACCCAAACACCGCCCTGGCCCACGCCCGCATCCCGTCTTTCCGAACTTGGGGTCACAAGTGCCACCTCCCCTCCTCCCTCCGTCCGTCTCTGATGTCCAGGGTCCCTTCCCATCTGTCCTCCCTGCCAGAGAGGGGTAGCTCCGGGAAAGGGAGCGTGGGGAGACCTCTCCCCTGTCCCACTTGCTCCCATTTTGCAGATGGAGCAGTCAGGACCCCCAAAGACGGAGGGGCCAGGTGGGGTGCGGGGTCCGTGGCACCGCTGAGGGCAGGAGGCCAAGAGCGAGGGGCTTTGTGGACGGCTTTATGGGGAGGTTTGGGACCCTGAGGGAGAACCCCTGGGAGGAACCGGAGATCTGGGGCCAGAGGTTGGCCTGGCCGCAAGGGAGACAGAGCTGCCCCCCGGGGAGGGTGTGGCAGCAGGAGGGGGCCTCTCTTTGCCACGGGAGACAGAGCTGCCCCCCGGGAGGGTGTGGCAGCAGGAGGGGGCCTCTCTTTGCCACGCCCGTCATTCCTGGTCGAAGATGACATAGGAAAGAAACCTCAGACCGGCACTTCAGGGAGCTGTCAGGACAGGTTTCTAAACAGCGAGGGTCTTGCCACCCCAGGAGGTGAACCGACCTTCACTGCAAAGCCACACCGATCTTTGGGGCAGAATAGTTTCTAAAACGCGGGCCTCTGGAGTTCGCTGCCAGCCTGATCCCTCAGCCGCTGGGCCAGGCCCTCGCTCGAGGGCAGGGACCACTCCCTCACTGCAGCGACCCCTGGAGGCGCTCCTGCCTCCGTGTCCTGCTCGGGGTGACTCCTCCCCGTGGGGAGCACATAGTCACGAAAGACAGATGAGCGTCTATGTCATGGAGGCCGGCTGGCCAGGGCCCCGCCTGTAACGGTGAATGGGGACCTGGGCCCTGGCCTGGGCAGGGGCCCCTGGTGGAGTTGGGGGACCAGCTGGCTGGAGGAGATGTGGGTGCTGCACCCCGGACCTCCTGGCTGAGGCCTCCCTGCTTTGGGTCTTGCCTGGGTGCCTGTTCCTGGGAGGTGGCACCGATGGGTCCACTCTCCCCTGAAGGGTACAGCAGGCCCCCCAACCCTCTATGGGAGCCAGTGGCTTTCCAGAAGTGAGCCCCTCTCTGCGGCCTCTGCTCCCTCCTAGGGGACAGTGCAGGACGATGAGGCTGCCCGGGTCCAGGCTGGGAGAGGGCTCTGCGGTGGACGGGGGTGGAGAGACCCACGCGGGAAGAGGAGAGCTGAAGGGCCCCAGAGAGGCAGAGGGGAGTCTAGGCCTGGCCGAGCGTCTCTGATGTTCTCAACTGGAAGTCCTTCCCCGTCCCCCCTCCTGGGAATTTAAGAGGGAGAGACAAGCACAGGAAAGGGAAGGAAGGAAGGAAGGAAATCTTCTAGGGTCTTGTAAGGACAGACGGAGGCCAGGAAGGAAGCCAGGCATGGGGGACAGCAGTGGCAGGTCCCAAGCTTAGACGGGGTTTACCTGCAGTGAAGGGACAGCCACAAAACGCTCCCCAGTGGTGCACACTGTGCAGAGGATTAAACGAGGGTGAGGAAGGACGGAGGGGCTGGGGTGCCCCTCGGAAGAAGAGATCATTGGCAGCCAAGCTCTGAAGGGCCTGAGCCAGAGGACTCGCCCGCTGGCCGCGTGAGAGTGAGGCTGGAGGGAGAGGGGCTGGGAGTGGCCGATGTCCGGAAGTGCCTCCCCAGGTCACCCCCACACTCTGCCCCTGCCCTCCGAGGGAACCTGCCACTCAGCAGCGTCACACCCCATTCCTGGAAAAGTGGGGCCCTCTTTCCGGGGTGGGGGATGGGTGGGCAGGGCCTGGGGAAGCCCTGGGGTGTCTGATAGCTGGAGTGTGGGGCTCCCCTGATTCCCATGCTGTCCTCTCCGCTGAGACTTCTGCTCAGTCCCAGAAGTTGCCACATTTCCCTTCATCCGGCCCTGGAGCCCCACCTTTAAGACAGAACCAGTACGCACACTCCGCATACTCCGCACACTCCGCATACTCCGCACACTCTGCATACTCCGTGCCCCTCAAGCTGGCCCAGTGTCCCCGTCAGAGGCCCCTCACGGCTGCTGAGCAGTGGGGAGAGGAAAAGGGGGTGGATGGGGTGGCTCTGGGCTCCTTCCTTCCCCTGCCCCTGGCCGACCAAACATAGTGAATGGCCAGGGGCGAGGGGTCCATTCCAGCCCCCCCCCTCTATCCTCCCCCGCCTACAAGGAGCCCCAGCCTCCTGGCCCTGGGGCTTGGCACCTGATTTGGGTCCTGCAGAGCTGGGCCGGGCCTGGGCCCAGAACCTGTGAATCCTAGCTGTGTGGGACCGTTCCTCCCCGGGGGGGCCTGAACCCTCTCCTTTTCTTCTTTTAGGGGGGTAAGTTCATTTATTTTCTCTTCCCGCCATCTGCCTCTCCCTCTCCACAAATTCCTGTTTTAAACTGAATGGCACGAAATTGTTTTCCTCAACTCGAAGATTCCTGTATGGAGAGAATCAATTTCTATATTTGCAATAAATTTCTTATTTAAAACAACGGGGCCAAGGTCTGTGTTGAATGTCACTCCCCCCCCCCCCCCCCCCCCCCCC